CTCAAGCTTCATGAAGACTTTCTACATCAATAAGGTATGTAATCTATCTTGCTATAGTCATTGTTTTGTATGCTAGATTAGAATAATACCTTGGATGTTCATATTTGCATGTACAATAGAGAAAACATAGATCCAAGGTATTTAGGTTTGCATGTACACTTAGGAGTGTTAGAATGCTCAAAACCCAACACTCACAACCACACAACTTTTGCCACAAGACATGAATGACATGTCTGTAGGGTTTCTATTCAAAAATAGTTTCAAAAATTCATATTTAGCAAAGAAAAGACTTAGAGATTTTAAACAAACATAAACAAGTTTATAGCCACAAAGGATCATCTTACAAGAAATAAAAAGGAAAAAAACAACCATAGAAATGATAAAAGAAATAACAACCTTTGTTGTCTTTGGTTCCTCAAGGGGAGGCTTGGAAGTTGTAGAATCATATGGATGAAATCCTTTCTTTTGTATACACCAACAAGAGACCAACTTAAAGAATATTGTAGTCTTGAGAACTCTTAAGCTTTGAGCCAAATCCAAGTGTACCTCAAAGAGAGAAAATGCAAGTAACCAAAACCTCTAAAAGTTTTGCAAGAGAAGAATGATAGATAGTGTAACATCCCGAGGTTCATGTACTTCTAAAATCATCCCTATAATTTTATTTCATGTCATTTTGGTCCCTAAGTCCAAGAAATTGTGTTTCGAAGCTCTAGTGGCAATTTTGTAATTAAGGCAGGAGGAGTACGCCATGCGTACATGTGTGTATGCTGAGTGTACTAGGTCGCGCCCTAATACGCTGGGCATACAACTATGTATGTTGGGTGTACTAACTTCAAGAGGAAACCCCTAATATTTAGGGTTTGGGTGGTATTTAAGCTACATTAAACCTCATTTTCCGTCACCTCTCCAGCATCCATTTCCTTTGAGACAGTTTTGCGAACCCTAACCCTTTAAGTGTGTGTTTTTAGCTTAAGTGTGTGTTGTGGGTGTGTTAAAGGAGGAAAGAAGATACATTGAGGAGCCTTGGTGTGGAAGCAAGCTTGTGGATTTGGGATCTTTGCCTTTTTTAGAAGCTCCAGAAGGTATAAATTTCATTACTTGATAACTTGTTTGCTAGATCCCATTTTGGGTGTTTATATGTCACTTTTTGGTCCCAAAGGTCCCATCTTGTGCATGGTTTGTTCTTGTCCTCTTAAGTTGTCCTTTCAGATCCTAGAAGGGGTCCTAAGCCATAAAAATGAGGTCTCAATTGTTAGGATTGCTTCATGTATCTTGTAGAGGGTCTTAATGGATTAAGACCTTGTGTTAAGCACGTTTTAGGCTTGTAAAGTCATAAAGTTGGAAACTTTATGACTCTAGAGTGCATTTGGACCGTAGATCTGAAATATGTTCTTAAGTACTTAAGCTATTAAGCACTTATTGGAGTTTGGAGTGTGCGAGGGTACGCCCTGCGTACATGGCTCGCGTACTCGGTCAACCACCTCGATGGTGGTCTTTTGTGAGGTTTGGCGTACGCTAAGCGTACCTCCCGGGTACGCCCTGCGTACTCACATGGGTTAACATTATTGAGTTAACTCGGCTGGGTTGACTCAATTGACTTAGTTGGCTTGACCAATTGACTTTTACAAAGTTTGACCTTGAGGGTATTTTGGGATTTTGATGGAATTGGTCACTTGGTGGAAATAGGTATCAGTTAAAGAGCTAAGATTTGGAGTTGGACCTCATCAGTTCTATTCAGTTTGCGATGTGAGTTTTCCTCACTGTACTTACGGGTCGAAGGTACCAAGGTCGGACCATTGGTTTGATAACCTAAAATTCGTTGATATGTTGAGTATGGAATATATATGCATGCTAATTTTGATATGCTAGTATGGTAGATCGGTAGGACTACCTGTGATATTGTTTATATGATTATTTATATATGTTAGTATATGTTATATGTCGACATATTGTGTGGGTTGGGTTGAGGTTGTACTGCTCTGTGTGGTAGTTAACAAACCCTGGAGCAATCTAGATATGAGCTGAGGACTGGGTATGGCATGCCAGACTCGTACTGAGGGCTCATGAGCATTCCATATACGAGTTGATGGTCGAGTAGAGTATGCCAGACTCGTACTGAGGGCTTGGTGGTATTCAGTCTGAGGACTGATATGGTCGGGGGACAAGCCAGACATAAGTTGTGGGCCCTGAGGGCAAGCCAAACCTATGTTGTGGGCTCAGAGGTAATCCAATCTTTTAGCTGTGGACCCATTGCTTGTTATTATATATGTTTTTTTGTTTATGTGTTGGTACTTTGGGGGAATTCACTAAACTTTGGGTTGTATTTGGGTTATGTTTCAGGTATCTCAGATGACCACGAGAAGGATACACCTTTTCGTGTTTTGATTTATGATTTTGGGAAACACTGCTATTAAACATGTTTTAAAAACTATATTGTAAACACAGATGATTTGTGGATTGGTTTTAAAAGTTTAAAATTTTCATGATTTTTTTTGGGTGTTACAGATAGAGAGATTATCTATGCTTTTTGGAGCAAAAGTGTGATAAAAAATGAAAGCCTCATGCATGGTTTTAAAGTTAAAACAATACCTACAAATCCTTAAACATTTAAGCACTCATGTACCTAGAGTTACATGTCTCCCATGCTTTGAAGACATGTCATGCTTTTGATTAAACAAATCAAAAGACCATGTATACACTTTCCCTCTCAATCTACGATAGTTTGTAGAAAAAAAATACACACTTTATAAATTTTATAAACTAGTTTAAAATATAATCCTTAACCTTTTGGTAAAAGACAAAAAAATGTCTTTCTAGTATAAAATGTAGTACATGATTTAATAAATTTTATATATATATATATATATATATATATATATATATATATATATATATAATATATATATATATATATATATGTTATTTGCCATTGAAAGTTATTATTTTCATTAAATAACTAATTTCCAATTAATAATAAGAGTTTATGAATATTTATTAAAATCAATATCTAATAAATAATCGATTATATTCAGTTGTTAGTCTGACCATTTAGGATCATATGTTAATTAACAATATCATTTTAATACGATTCCTGAGCATATCAATATCATTTTTACGGGTGAATTAAATTGGTAAAATTTGAAATAAAAAATAAAAAAGGAATAAAATAACCTTCATGCACTCTCTCCTCGACACTAAAATACCGTTTGATCCATGTTTGCTCGACATGCCACCGTCAGACGTGTATGCCATGGTTGTTGAGTAGATGCGAGACATATGTTAGTTTCACTTCGTCCGGTCTAAACTAGCAGCTGAAGCAAATAAAATAAAGGGTACTAGCTTTAGAAAAGAATAATACAAGTAAGAACTATATTTGCAAACACCCACGCATGATAAAAGAACAAATATAGTACAACACAATGTTATGATGAGATTAAAAAGAATTATGAATTGTTGGTACACACATATTTGAAAAAGTTAATTAATATGGGAAATTCATATTGCTCTAAAAGAACACCTAAACATTCAAAACAAACGCCTTAAAATCAATACAAATAAAAGGAATACAGATAAATAAAATGTTAATTAATTTATTACCATTTAACACCACTAACAAATAATTTCTAAATTATTAAAAAAAGAAATCAGTACTTTTTGCACATGTCAAATTTTATCCAACTTATATAAACAACTTATAACTTTTTTTTGAACGATATATATATATATATATATATATATATATATATATATATATATATATATATATATATATATATATATATATATATATATATTAAAACGAGTTAACAAGATGTTAGAGAAAATTATATGATACAAGACAGACAGAAGAATTAGACCAATCAAACCAATATAACATATTAAATCTAGTTTTATACTTGATCCAATTATAAAAAGAAAGTTGAATTCCACCGCCTCTTCATGAGATTGCTCTTTCAATTTTTGAAAAGAAGTTTATTACTAGCAATCCACAAAAACCACAACATCGAGTAAGACATAGCCAAAACCAGTTTATACTTCTTGTCTACGCCTATACTGATATCTTATCTAAACCAAATTATTATAACCCTAGATTTTTATATACATATATGATATACCGATCATGTTTTTCTTTATTATTTTACACGTATAAACAACAATTACCAAACAATAAAAAATAACTTCTAATTTTATTATGTTTTGATACGAGATAAACCAAACCAATCCAACTGTTTTTTAACATTTCAATTTGACACCAAATAAACTAATAAATTTTTTTACAATTAAATCTAAACCCAACAAACCAAAAGACTCGTTCTTAGGGTACATTCAATCCACTCTCAAACTCCATTTCTTCCCCCATTTCTTCTTCCATTCTTCTCCAATCCTACCACATTTTTGGAGATACGAATAATATTCCCTCATATATGAGGGAATACTATTTATATTTCCAAAAATGGAGGTGAAGTTTGGTTGCCAATTTTAATCCCTTTTATTTTTATTTTATATATTTCTAGTTTATTTTATCTATTAATTATAATTTAAATGCAATATTTAATATTTATAATATCATGTTATATATACTAATTTATATTAATTAATCATAAATATAGAGTTTAATTAGTAAAAAAGAGTATTTGACAATATATATAAATTATAAAAAGGGAATATTCTGGGAAATGGAATAGGGTTAAAAATGAAACCCTATTTACTTGATTTTTTAGTCTATTTATGGAGGAAAAATAGAAATAGGTTAACGATGGTCTTAGCGGTACAAAGAATTGAGGGAATAAGGGTTTCTCAACCAAATATTAAGAATTTACGTTTTATAGTGTATTAAAATAAATTAAAAAAAATTGATGAGTATGTAAATCATTCTGTAAAAAAAATAAAAAATATAACATAACCTCAATAAGCAATTCAAATACTCTTGAATAAAGTATATGAATATATGTCCTATAAGATATAGAAATTTAATGAAAAAGCGACACGACACTAATTTAAAGAAAATGAAAAACCATTGAGGGGTTTGCATCTAAAGAGACGAAAGGGGTGGTGTGCTCAAGGAATTAATTTGGAGTGGTCTAACTCTCTAACCTATTAAAAGACAAAAAAGTCGCACTTTTTTTTGCTGCCTTTCTTTGGGAATCTCCTCATCAAAACAGCTTTTTAACAAATTTCCCAGCAAAATTTCCATGAAAAATCGAAATCCCTTTTCTTTCTTGTTTCGTTTTCCCCTCGGATTTATCTAAAACAATTTTCTTTCAACCCTTTTCATCATAATAAATCTTTCAATCGACAAACACCCACACACCCCCGACCCGATGATGCTTCCCGCCACAGCTTTTTCATCGTCTTCGTCTTCATCTGCTAATTCAGCTGTTGTTCGAGTGGATAAGGCCACCAGCGAATTCTTAAACGGTCCTGATTGGACTATCAACATCGATATTTGCGACACCATCAACGCGAATCCTTGGTAATATTTGTATCCATCATCATCGGCTTTCTTTGATTTTTACGCAGAATTTAGTTGACCTTATTTTTATTTGGGGTATGTTGTTCTAGGGTTTTATACTTGTCGTTAATCACTCGTAACTTGAAATTTTGGGAATATTTTATGGTTTTTGAATGTTTTTGCTACTTGTATGTCGAGTTCATGCTGTATTAATCCATAATTTTCATTAACATACCAAAAATTTAACCTTCGGATTTTGTTCTAGGGTTTTATACACGTTTTGATGATTCGTAACTTAAAATAGATAGATATTCAGTGTCTATTGATGGTCTTGATTTTCAGAAAATAATACAGAAATCCTAGTTTACAAAACTTTTTATGAATTATTGATTTGTAATAATCATACATTATTACTTTAAATATTTTATTTACAAATTAGAGCTTCTTGGGCTGTTTTTCTTGTTCTTTTTAAAAAAAAGAGTACTTTTGACAAATTTGTGTACTTTAGCAGGAACCATAGTTTTTTTTTTTCCACAAAAAGAGTTAATCCTGTGTTTTTATTTAGTATTTAGTTTGAGTAACAATCAAATCTTACGTTTTTAATTGTTTATAATTTTCTAGGCTTGTAAAAGATGTTGTCAAAGCTTTGAAGAAAAGGTTACAACACAAGAACTCCCATGTTCAACTACTTTCCTTGACGGTATTTTACCTTTTTTAATCATTATAATTACAATTTACAAATCTTGAAATGATTGTTGCATAAAAAATGCTAATTTTAGTAGTAATTTATCTGATTTTGGATTGTAGCTTTTAGAGACCATGGTAAAGAATTGTGGTGACAATGTTCATTATCAAATAGCCGAGCGAAACATACTCCCGGAGATGATAAAAATTGTCAAGAAAAAGGTAAATCAAAATGTTCCCAAAGCAAGGAAGTTGAAACCCATGCTCACGGAATTGGAATTCAAGATTCCATTCCATGATGGTGTTTGGTTTCCAAATGGATGGAATTCAATTCCGAATCCTTCGTATTCCATGTTTGACAGATTTCGCTATTCCTAGAGGACGGTGGAAAGGGAATCCAATTGTGGCGTTGCATTCCATTTTCCGTTTCATGCCAACCAAACGCATGACAAATTATGATTCCTCCATTTTTTATTTTATTTTATTTATTTATTTATTTATTTTTTTGCAGACGGACATGCGTGTAAGGGAGAAAATTTTGGTACTTTTAGATTCATGGCAAGAAGCATTTGGTGGACGCGGAGGAAAATATCCTCAATATTACTTTGCTTATGATGAATTACGGGTAATTTTATTATATTTAAAAGCATCATTTTTTAGTGTTTTTGATTTTTTTAGTTGCATATCGCGATAAATATTAGCAATGGAATACATGTACTTGTTGAAGTCATAATTCATGAAAAATGAAGAAGTATTTGTCGAATTTTGTAATATCTAATAGCAAAAATAACATGTTGGAATTTACATCCGATGTCAACTAATTTATGTGCAATCAAAATTCCTAAAAAGTTGCAAATTTGCAATAATTACCTATTTTTGGGAAGTGCCCATGTGAAATTTTGTTGATTTGGGTATTCAAGATTTCCTTTTTTGGTAAGTTTCCAAGTTTTAATTACATAATTACCCGTGAAGATCTATTGGTATTGCTATAAGTCCACAAGATTCCTTGTCTTGTTAAGGGCGTTTTAGTCATTTGAGAAAATTTTGGATTATGTTTACGAGGACAGCAAGCGGGAGTACAGTTCCCTCACCGGTCACCTGATGCAGCTCCAATATTTACACCTCCTGTCACCCATCATCCATCTGTGGGACCCACTCAACCAAATTATGGAATGCCAAGTAATTCTTCAACAAGGCTTGATGAAGCCATGGCTTCTGAGATTGAAAACTTAAGGTTTCTTATTTCTCTTTTAAGTTAAATGCTAAAAACAGCAACATACTTCTATAGTTCTATTTATTTGTTTATTATAGCATTCTAATTCTAATTTCATTTCATCCTATTGCTTCATTGTACTTTGTAAAACCTACCCAATTATAGTATTATCATCAAAATACAAATAGGTTCTCACTGCTACAAATGGATAGATTTTTTGGTGGATAATGGATTGATTTGGATACTTTATTTTTATTTTTTTAGTATGTCGGTGATCGAGTCTATGAGGAATGTTTCGGATCTTTTATCCGAGATGTTGCAAGAAGTTGATCCAAATGATCGTGCAGTACGTGCATTCTTCTTTTCTTTTTGTCATTACAGACGATGAAGATGCGAAGGGCATTCACGTCTTTTTCCACATACAAGATATCGATAGCATGTCCCTAATCCCTGTCCCAACTTTTTGGATTGGACAAAATTGCATTTTTTGTGTCCAACTCTAACAAACTTTTTAGGGCTATTTTTAATGATGAGGATGAGAAGGACATTTAAGTCTTTTGCACAAAGACTTTATATCTGACATCATTCCCAATCCAATTCATGCCAAGCACAGTACATCCTGTTATGTCATGTCCTTGGTGATTTTGACTTGTCTTTTTATGTTAATAGGCAATAAAAGATGAGGTCATCGTTGATGTTGTTGACCGATGTCGATCAAATCAAAAGAAATTAATGCAAATGTTAGCTTCCACAAGGTACAAAAACCTTGAACCCTAAACCCTAAACCCCAAAACTGTATCATGTGTAGTTGCTTTATACTCATGATAATTATTGTTTTTTTTTGTAGTGATGAGGAGCTTCTTGGTCAAGGTATCGAATTAAATGACAATCTACAAACCGTTCTTGCAAAACATGATGCTATTGCATCCGGTTCTCCAATTCCTGCTCAACTCACAAATTCTATCGCCTCACCAAGTAATACCAATAATACCCTTGAGCCCCAAATCAAATCAACTGAAGAAAAAGAAAACTTGAAATCAACCGTGCCCGTGGCGGCACCTCCCCCGGTGGTGGCGGTGCCGCCACCATCAGGAAATGATGGTGATGACGAGGAAGATGAAGATGACTTTGCTTTATTAGCTAGAAGGTAAATTCTCCTTTTTTTTTTCGATTAAATTTATGAAATAGCAACATACTTGTACTACAACTTTTTTTCTTTTTGTCCAGACATTCAAAAGCACAAGTGGGACCCACATCAGATCCTTCATTGAGTATGGCCTTAACCATAACTGATCCACCACCTCCATTAAACACAACAAAAGCCGATGACATGATCGACTTTTTAAGCCTCACGTTATCATCTCCAAATCCACCCTCACCGCCGCCCGTCACAACCTCACACGACCAATCACCGCCAGTTTCCACCACCGCCCAGCAGCAGCAGCAACACTATCCCCACCAACCTCAGCCATCCATGAGCAGTTACGTTGTGCCATGGGCTCAATCCGAACCTCAACATCAACACCAACCTCCACCACAGCCACCACCGGTTCAGCCACAATATCAACAGCAAAACCTTTCCCCTGGCGGCTATATCCCGCCACCATGGGCGGCAACACCTGGCTATTACACAAACCCGTATCAGCCTTCTCCTATGACTTACTCATATCCTACTCCCTCATATAATAACATCAACAACACGTCTTCACAGCAAGTAAACTTGTATTCCAACAGGGCGGCAGCAGGCGGTGTAAGTGGAGATAGTCAGGTGGCGGCTGGTGGTGGTGGTGGAAGTCAAAGACCGTTTATTCCTTCGTATAGATTATTTGAAGATCTTAATGTACTTGGCAATCCAAACACAACATCTGGGAGTTCTTCGGGTGAAAGTATGTTGGGTGGGAGGAAGTGAAATCTTTATGAACAGGTTTTGTGTTATTGTTGATACATTGGGGTTTGTGTATTGGTGATGGGTGTGTATTCGTTTATATTCGATTTCTTGGATTTAGATGAACATAAAAAAAAAAAAAAAAAAAAAGAACCCGGTTTTGTGTTTGCATTTCTTGTGGTTTGAGTATATGGTTTTGTATCTATGGACACGTTTGATAGATTTAAACTTCATTTTTAGTATGCGTTTGTACTTGTTTATTTTTATCGTCTTTTTTTATTGTAACAAACATGTGAATAAATATAAAACTAATCATCACATCACATAACTTGTAAAACATAAACATATCTAGTCGGTGAATTCTTTATAAAACGTAAACATATTATCGGTGCCAATATTAAATAAAAAACGTCTTCTTCAATTAGAACTAGTTTGATGAGCTACTAGCCTTGAGATTGAAGTTTGTGATGTTACGACTTGTATCTTGACTCAAGTATTCATTATCGTATATTATATATAGTTCTTTAATCTTATCTTCAATATTTATTGTGTTTTTTATTTATATCTAGTTCATCTAAACAGTAAAATAGATGGAAATTCGTTATACTCTTGATTACACCTTTATGTTTTACATATGAATTTAATGCTGAAACAATCATAGTGAAAAGTTTCGAATATTTTACGAGTGTTAGCATCATTTGTTGAATAATAGCCACACATTATGGATCTAAGTATCTAACCCTTGAAAACTTGACAATGTTTTTAATATTGGAGCAATACTCACTAAAGCAACATTATATGTTGGATAATAAGTTTGTGATAACATAAACGTGGACTCCTAAAGTTGTATTTAACTCTTGAAGCGAGATAGCTTATTGAGTGTTCTCAAGATTGGTGATTGGTGGTTAATGACACTCTACCAAAGAATCCTTTAAATAATTAATGGATTTTTTAATATGTGCCTGAAGCATATATAAAAATAAGATTTTCTAATATGTATTTTAAAGGTACATATAAAAAGTATTAACTATAAAAAATATTATCATAATTAAATTCAAAATTATTATTACATTTTATATTTAATTATGATAATATTTTTTATAATTAATATATTTACATTAACTATGATAATATTTATCACTAATTAATATTTTTTATATGTGCCTTTAAAGCACATATTAAAAAATCTCAATAATTAAATCTCCATATATTTTTGAAAGTTTTTTATAGGAATATGTTTAGGGTACATATTAAAAAATCTCAATAATTAAATCTCCATATGTTTTTGAAAGTTTTTTTTTCATAGGGATACGTTTTAAGGTAGTACAATTTACTTGATAGACATTGATTGCTTTCATGGTGAACTTGATAACTCTAGGGCAGCATAATAAATAGAAAAGAAGAATTTCTTGTATGATTAGGTGCATATATAATTGGCGTGCTATTTGATTTAATAACTCTAGACCACCATCAAATACTTGTGTTTGAGTAGGTAACACATCGACGTTTTTCATTGCCTAATAATTTCAAAGTAAATTAGATTATTATTAATGAAACTAAATCTAAGTTATGAGTCCAATATAATTTACAATTAGTCACTTTAATAGGTTAGTTTAATATATGATTAGTCCTCTTACTCTGAACCGACGGAGACTGAATCGATGTCGCTATTGAAGCAATTCAAGCGGAAATTTTCATAGAATTTTTTTGTTGTTGCTGCATGTTGGTTCTTTAGAGATTGACGGTGGTTGAATAGTGATTTGAAGCTCTATCAAGTAAGATTCATACACCCTTCTTGTCTCTTTAATCATTGGCTATATATGAAAAGCGAAACCACTTATCATTTCAGATTTGGTAAATGGGTTCTTTTCAATCTTTGAAGCTTTGAAGTTTTTCTGATCTGGGTTTTGTTGGAATTTCTTATTCGTCCATCATGATCTGGTGTAACGACCCATCCCTGCAACGGTTAGACTTAGACGAGAGTTGCGCAACAGGGTCAGATCAACCACTCTGAGATTATTTAATCCAACTGCAAACAACTTAGTGTATACCCCAAATACAAGAAATTCCACACACAAATTCCAAGTCAATGAACCCACGTCGACTCTTCTTGCTACCACTTGCTGGTTTCTAGAGGCAGCCGGGACCTCCTTGATCTCACATTATCTGTTAATTGCTTGAAACATCGGACACCTAACTGATTGTTAGACCAGAAACACATACACATCAGTCCCACATGACCTCCGAAGGATACCTCGTCTGACAATAACTGCCCTATCTATACCGCCACTCATGGCTCCTTCAATCCTTTAATCCATCCAATCATGATAGGCTGACAACCTGTCGCCACTGAATCCGACGCAAAAATGTGAATGCTACCAGAATAACTGTAGTGTTACATCATGTCTAGTGTCCTTCGACCTACCTTTTCCTGATTCCAATTATGTTGTGACCTACTCACAACCTTGTGAACTGGCCCACCCTAGCCTAAGTCATCTGACCGGATTCGTGAATACCACAACTACCCTACAGTCTTTCTGCACTTCCCATACTATCTGGCCGATTGTGAATGCTACGACTCCCCCACAGTCTTACAACACTTTCCACACTATCTGACTACTAGTGAATGCTACGGCTCCCCTGTATTCTTACAACACTTTCACCCTACTAACCATTAGTGAATGCTATGACTCCTTGTATTCTTACAACACTTTTACCCTACTGACCATTAGTGAATGCTACGACTCACCTGTAGTCTTACAACACTTTCACCCTACTGGCCATTAGTGAATGATACGCTTCCCCCGTAGTCTTACAACACTTTCACCCTACTGACCGTTAGTGAATGCTACGACTCCCCGGTAGTCTTACAACACTTTCATCCTAACTGACCATTAGTGCATGCTACGGCTCCCCCATAGGCTTACAACACTTTTTCCCTAACACAACCGTAGCCTAAGGCCTTACTCCTAATCTATCAATTCGAGACGCATACAGAGTCGAGCACGCACTCGACCGAATACTCCAGGCTGAACTCGAGCTATGTTTGGGACCCCGGCTTGTTTCTCCGAAGCCTGCCATCAACCACCAAGAGAACACGATCTCAATGTTGGGAGTCTCCCAAGCTCCCACTCACACGACCCTCAAATCAAAACAACCACTTGGGCCACCTTCCTCCCAGACGGGGATGCAAGACTTACCCTACTTTCATAACTGCTCCTGAAAACCTGAATGATTCTCCCCTACTTTGAATTGACTAAACACCTAAATCACACGAGAATTGAAGGATTCCTAATCCCTCTTACCTTATAATGATCGACCCGATGACAATTAGCACTTACCAGCTAGTGCTCCATCATTAGCCAATCTCAATGATTACCCAACTTCTAGGATCCGAGAGAGCACTCTTGAGACCTTAACTAGTCCGATAATCCAAATCACCTCCCATGATACCATACCAATTCCTTGAGTTCTTATGCTGATGAATAAGAACCATAACTCTTGCCATGTACTAATGAACTTCTACTCTAATTTCTATCCTCAAGGAATCATCGAACTCTAATCGGCTTCAGTCCATGAGAAGGTACGATTCCCTTGATGCATCCAATGATCAAACAACTTGCACAACTAACACCACCATCTTCATGCTACCATTCATTTCCTAGCTACGGTAGATCCTTGAAATACAAAGTTCTTCCATAAGAAGATGTCGATCATACCCGAACAGATGAAAAAACCATTGAAACCCGACTTTACTGTAGAACTACCCCACTAACTCCTAACCAAATATCCTCCATGCAATAATCCTGAGCAACTTCCAATAAATACCCGGAATAGTAACAATACACGCGAGACCCACTCTGCAAGATACATCCATTTGAAGATTCCCCAAAGACTCCTCGACATGCAAAATGACATATGAAAATCCTTGATAATTCAGACAATAGAACTAACCCGAGATATAACTTGTTCAAACTTAATCAAAATTCCAAAGTGATATAAATTTTTGGATATCCACTTGAAGTGGTAGAATATAACATACCTGCAAACATCTGAAGGAATCCTAACCACTTCCTCCTAGAAATCGGATCCCATTCACGAGTGCTCCAAATCAGTCTTCTACCCTCGGGCTCTAGAAGTCATATCATTTAGGGTATCACACCCTAACACACTCACCAGCTCAATAGTCCATGGTTGAACTGCAATAGCTAAAGCAACCTTTGCCCTAAACCAGGCTACAAACTACTCCTAAGGCATAGTCTCCAATCCTGAAAGTGCAATAGATCACACAATCAATCCTTTCCGCTTGAAACAAGAGATCTAAGGTGAACTCAAAAATCCTAGAAGTCCTTCCACTAAATGGATCACCACTGGAGCCGGGACCAAACCCTGGTCCTTCCCATACGTGTTCATCCTTATTCTACAAAGTAGCTATTACCACGATTAAAGCATGACCAAGAATTCTCCTTCCCATAAGCTTCTAAGATTCTCCAAGACTCTCACCGATTCGAGTATGAATCCTGTGCTTTCAGTAGTATGACCCAATACTACCTTCCACACCTATCCATACTTTCCTCAGCAATCCTCCTGAATCCTTTGAGTTACCTACTCCATTGATGCACTAGATGTCTGCTAAACAGCAACACAGTATCCAACGAAGCACCCCTAGGTTCCCAACCTCAATGAACCATGTCACACCCTAAACTAGAACAGTGGAAATGTCTGGGGGTGTATGACTTCATGTACAGTATCATAATAATTGAATAATAGAGATCAAAGATTTACAATCATCATATTGATAAATTATAAGTTTTTACATTGTATTCGAATCGTTGTTTGTTTGATTTCTAAATACATATGACCAAAAATATGTGATGTGACATTGTTACTATTGAATTAGATGTCTAAGCCCATAACTATTATTAGTATGTACTCGACCCAAGAGTAGCATGGTCCATTTGGGTTGCACTTCACCAGAACAATTTGTATGGATAGTCTTTTGAGAATAATACGTCTATGGTTTATTCATATATTACAAGTTATAATATATTAATATGAGATCATATTATTTAATTATTATTGATCAAGAATTAATTTAGAATTAAATTAGTGATCAAAAGGAACTTTATAAATATGGATTCTTATAGGATGGGCCAAGTTCATTTAGGTTGGGCTAAGCTTGCATGGATAGTCTATGGAGTTTTTAATCCATGGATCCTATGGAAATGAAAGTTCATGGGTATTAGGGTTTACATGGATGTAACCCTAACCTTCCATACTGTATAAATAGGTCTTTGGCACATGA